CTGTTTTGTTTTTTCAGTGCTACTGGTGCTTGACCTTCTTCATTTTTGAGACTATTGTCTTTCTTGCTAGTTTTACATTTTAAATTTTACTTAGACTACAAAAACAAACTCTTCTGGTGTTTTTCATCTCAAGTGCTTACCAAATCCCTCAGATTTTACAAAATATTTAAAAAGTAATCTCCAGACTGAAGTCTCATTAAAACCTTTGCCCTTCCTGTGGAACAAAAGTTCAGAGAAGTTCTGGCCGATTCTAATTTGGAAACTGTAAAACAAAAAACATCATGGTGTGAAGTATTAATTTAGGCTTGGCAGCCTCACTGTAAAATTCATTTCCAGAAGCTTCCAATTAAAACGCAGCATGTCTAATTGTATAAGAGAAAGCACCTTGAAGGCTCTTATATAATATAAGAGGAAAAATGCCCCGAAAATTAGTGAAAATAAAACATCTTGGAGGTATTTTTTTGTTAAACAAGCAGTCACATTTATGTTGCAGTGAGTTGACTTGGTAGAAGAAACCATGTACTGAGGAATTTCTTAGCCATACTGATTTTCAGTATTGCTTTTTAATCAAGCCTTTTGACAGATTAGTCAGGTATTTATCTTTTGGGTTTCTTTGTATCTTTGTTGTACCTGGTGCTGTCCTGCTCCTTGAGCGATGCAGTTTGTGTGGTTTTGTCCTGGGATACTTTTTTACCTGATTCAAAGAAGAAAAAGCAAAATTGGATAAAGGACAGGTTGAATAAGATGGTCAAAGGTGTAGAATACCTTATCTAATAGTGCAGTAAAGAATACAGGGCCCTTCAGTCTGATGGAGGTATCATGGAATCACAGAATGATTTGGGTTGGAAAGGACCTTAAAGATCATCCAGTGCCACCCCTGCCATGGGCAGGGACACCTTCCACTAGCCCAGGTTGCTCCAAGCCCCGTCCAACCTGGCCTTGGACACTTCCAGGGATCCAGGGGCAGCCACAGCTTCTCTGGGCAACCTGTGCCAGGGCCTCATCACCCTCCCAGGGAAGAATTTCATCCCAATATCCCACCCAAACCCTCTTTCAGTTTACCCGGTGCCGTATTTGTCTGTAAAATCATGAGTGACAGGGATAAGGCAACAATTGTTCACTATATTTCTGTCTCAGAGGCAGGAACAAGCTCTAGCTCGCAGATGGAAGTAAATCAAAGCAATTGTTTAGGATTATGCAATGGCAAAATCCATTATTACTGAAATTACCTGGTTCTAGAAGTACTGTACTGCAAACTGTTGGAAGTCAGGAGTGGATTGGCAGAGTAACAGTAAATGTTCATCCTGACATTTTAGTCTTCACTGATTGTTTTCTACTCATGGATGTCAGAGATGGGATATTTATTTGAGTGCGCCATGGACATGGGTATGACCTGCAGTGGCTTTTATCTTATAATGGTTCAAAATGTATTAATATTCTGTCTCAAGAAGGATGTTTCTGGGTGTCCATAAAAATTCTAAACAGCACCAAAAAAAAATTAAATTTTAGGTAAATATATGGGGTTTGTTTCCAAAAACATTTCAAAAAAGCACTTTTTTTTTTTTTTTTTTTAGATTTTTGGAGAAAAAATAGATGCAGAGAAAGAAATATGTGCAGTTGTTGTATATTGACAGAGTGCATTTCATCAGCAGGTGGTGTTGGATTTGAGAAGCTGAAACCTGAGACAAGTGCTTAGGGATGGTCTGTAAGATGATACTTTTTGTTGAAAGTCTTGTAGTTAAATATTCCCAAGATTGTCTGGGCAGCTTAAACAGTGCTACTGTGCAAGAGCTTTTATGCAGTGAGATAAAAGAAAGCAAAATGTTTTCAGTTGTGAACTTGTACCATGGACAGAATGACTTCTGAAATGAATGCTGATTTAATCTGAAGTCAGAGAGAAATGATTTTCCAAAGCAGTTTTGCAAATCTGATTAAGTTCTGCTGTGATAAATCCCTCTGCAGCACTTCCCTTTGGGAGATCCCCTTTCTGGTTTGGATTTATGTTGTTGTACACTGCAAATCAGCAATATATAGAATAAGGAGTATAAATAGTATGCTTAGAGGCAGGTTTTTAGATGATGTAATCATTTTAGAGTGAGTAATGAAATTTGAACATTTTTCTAGAAGTGAAGATGATCCTGGACAAGAGGTGGAATCTGTCTGGGTTCTCAGATTTAGATGTTTTCACAGTCCAGGAATAAGGGGACAGGGGGGAAAAAATATGAGTTGGATTCACAGTGGTTTGTTTGGATATTGAGGTTTTAAATATTTGGAAGAAAGTAAGTAAATTGAGAGTAAGTGCTTATGGAAAGGGTGGTGATGGGGAGGTAGAAGCCCTTAGACATTATTTCATTTGATTTAGCAGATTCTGTGGGTTCCCCGTTTAATTCTGTCAATACAGACACAGTGCAAATGCTGTTCCTTGGAAAACTGCCCTCAGCAGGTCCCATGTTCCCACTTCCTCTGTGGAATGAGTCATGGGATGTGGGTCCAACCATCAGTGTAAATAAAATGCCTTTTCGGGAGCACTGTCTTCCTTCAGGTATGTTTGTAAACACTTTTAGGAAGGGAGGATATCAAAGAGCATCAGTGGCTCCTTCCATTTTTACCTCTAATTCCATTGTGTGTCCCAGGTGAGCAGTGTGTCATCCCCACAGCCTCCTGTGCCTTCAGGGAAGTTTATTAGCAAGATCCTAAGTTTTGGGGGAAGAGAACATCTAAAGGAAACCACCTGAGAACTATTTCTTCCTTTTTCTTTCCTAAGTAGGGTATTTTGGTGCCCAAAAATAAATACTGACCCTGCAGTGATTGGATAACCAATTTTTCCTGTTCCTGTGTTGCTCAGTACTAAAGAAGCCTTTTTTTTTTTTTAGTAATTATAACCAAACCAGTAATGCTGCAATGCAGTTAATTTTATATAGCCTATTTATGCCAGACTATGACATTATAGAATTGATTGGGAAATTTAGAACATACCTGCATAGTGATACAATTTCCATGTGTGGGATTCACAAAGGTGATGAATCTCAAGATGTGGGAGCAGTATTTCCTTGGAAAACTAAGTGGCTGGGCTGTCTTTACTTATAGCCATGAGTATGCCCCTGCTACTGGGAAAGACTAATTTGCCACCTTGTGTTTTCTGTGCTCTGAAAAATGATTCCTTGGCTATTTCTGCCTTCTGGGCCACTTGAGAAAGTGTCTTTAAATCAAGAAGTAGTTTATATTCTGGTTTTTTTTTAAATATGACTGAAAAGGCATATTTTTTCCCCCAAGTCCTTAAATTGTTTCATCTGAGTAGTGATGACTAAAAGTGTTCTTTAAGCAGTACCTTCACATACCATTCAATTATTTCTGTTTACAGAGCGTAACATTTCAAAGTGGTTTATTTAATAATGTCATTTCCATTCTCTGGCTTTAGAGGATTTTCTAAGGCCTTGAGGTTTAAACTTTTGCATGGACTTGGAAGAATATTGTTTTAATTTAATATAAAAATTTACCTTTAATTAAAAAAAAATCTAAAACCAACACCAGTAGTCACCAGTCAGTCCTGAATGTGCTTCAAATGAGAAATTCAGTCACACACACCATTTCAGAAAGGTATATTAGATATTTGACAAGGTTCAGCAGGAACCTTACTTATTTTTATGGTTTTTTTTCATGTGGACAGTTTGACTGTTTTTATCAGAGATAATTCTTGTATTTTCTACTCAACAGTTTACAGTTGGTGGGAAATACATTAAAAATGTTATTTTTTTGGTAAATATTATGAAGAGTGAAACAGTAAGAGTGTAAAAAGAATTGGGGATCTCTGCAAACTTAAAATTGTTTCTTCTGGTTCTCCAGTATGGGATATTTCTCCATAAGTGTCCCTGAAGGAATGTCTTTCTCTCCAGGCTGTAGACAGGATAATTATGTATGTCCCTTCCCAAATATTGCTCAGCTTCATTCAAGGGTACTTTCCTTTTTTCATAATGGAAACTGGAAAAAAACCTGAACTTCATCTCAAGATGATAATCTTAATTACCTATTTAATGTAACTGATATGAAGAACTCCTAATGGCCTGAACTTCAGTGTCACTTCTGATAACATCCAATCTTTTAACTTTTAATTGAGGTCCTTCAACTTCTCATTCTGTTTGCTGTATGGGTGGTTTTCAAGCTGATACATGTAAGGAATTTGCAATTTAAAATTTCATTTGATATTGCCACCATATGGCTCTGGATGTTGAGAGGGTATGGGCTGAATGAGTAATGGCTCCAAGATAGATTTTTGACTGAAGTTATAGGCCACTGAATAATCTTATTTTAAATCAAATGAAGATCTGATTAGAGGAAGTTATTGTTGCTGAGGTGGTGATTTTCTGTGTAGCTAAAGGGAAAATAGTTATGTCTGTTTAGTTTCTGGGAATGTCTGCAAAGAATATCTTTTCAATAAATCAACAAAAAATGGTAGAATTTCACTAATCATTACCTGTAAACTAATCCAGGAAAAACTCCGTGAATTAAAGTAGCAATGAAGGAAATGCTCCATCACTAATGCAATAAAACCGTCCTGCTTACTGTTAAGTGGGGTTTTTTTCTATTAGATTTTTTTTTTTGGTCTCCATTATTTGCTAGAATTACCAACACTTGAGATGAGCTGCCTTTGGAGGTGCTGAGTTTTTTAGTGTCGGCACCAGCTCAGCAGAACTCTAGAGGATAACTTAAATACAGAGTTTCAGTAAGCAAAGCCAAAACTTCTCCAGTCCATCTTGGATGTCGTGGAAGTGTGTGATGTTAATTTTACATTTTCATCAAGTGCCAAGGTTAGGTTTGTATTCCTGAGATGGTGCTGAAATGACTAAAAGCCTGTGATTTCGCTGCACACTCATTTGGTGTAGATTAGATTAAAATTATTCCTCGTTCTTTGGAAAATCTGTAAAGCTGTGGCCAGAGTGTTCTTGTGCAACTGGGTATGACTGCTCTCTTTTTTGATTTTCCCCTTCTTTTCTCCTTTCCAGGGTCAGTACAGACCCTCTGACCTGCTGTGTCCAGAGACCTACGTCTGGACGCCGATCGAGCAGTGTCTGCCCCTGCTTGAGAACTCCAAGTACTCTCGGTTCAACCAGGATGGAAAAGCAGGTAAGTTTACAAGGAATGACAGGCCTGTAAATTGTCTGTCCTTTTATGATGTATCAGTAGCATCTGCTGCTCTTGCATTATGGAAATGTGATCTGTAAAATATAAGAAGCGTAAAATTCACAACTCCCGCAGCAAAACTTAGCAAATGGAGAGTTTTGTTTTGTAACATAAAGTAAGCAATGCAAATTTGAAATACATTCCCTTTTGGAGACTGTACATAGTTCAAAATTAACATATATTGGTGCCTTTCAGGTAATTATATTTGCTATTCTGGGCACGAACAAAACCAATCAAATAATTGTTCCTCACATTCCAGTCGGAGGGATGCATAAAGGAAGGAAATTGGAATCAATACAGGAAAGTGAAAGGGCTGGAGAAGCTTAAAGGCATCAAGTGCTTTTGTTAAGAAACAAAGTGGCAGATTTATTTTAACAATCTGTCAGTGAATATGAAAAATACAACCAACAGACAGAAGCACCTTAAACATCTTGAAGTAGATAGATTTATACATTCTGTAAAATAGGTGCTTAGTGATTTGCCACCATAGAATGGTTGAAAATGTTACTGACCAGGACATAATACAGTAATGCTACTGTAAAAATACATGCATTTGCTTTAGTTACTGACTCTCTGGGCTGATGGCAAGTCCCAAGGGAGCTGTGTTAGAGGATGATTGAAGTGGTGCTTGTGGGGAAAGGGGACCAACTTAGCTTTAGTTATTAATTGGAAATTGCTGAATATCCCCTTTCTCCTGTGAATAACAATTGAATGTGGCTGTGGTATTAATCAGAGATGTGTGGTGTTACTCAGCTCAGGAGTGTGTAACACCATGATCTGTTTCTAAGCACCAAAATACAGATTTACCTGTCTTTGAGTAATGTTCAACAGTTGCTTCTTTCTTTTTACTTTTTTTCTTTTACTCTCTTTCTTTTTTTTTTCTTTTTGATCTTTTTACTTTTTATTCTAGTTTAGTAGGATTTTCCTTCCCTAGACAGTTAACTGTTAAATCCTGGAAGGGTAGGATGTAGATAAATCAAAGGAATTTGAATAGCCTGCTTAATCAGGACTGTGAAGTTCTGGAAGTGCTGTTGAGTTCCTTGCACATCCTGTGCTTGTTACATGGTTGCTCAACTGGAACACTGATAATAATTAGAAGAACTACAATAGCAAAGTTCAAATAGATTTCTAGCTGTAGATTATGATTTAAAGTTTTAGTAGCAGAATTACCTGAAGGGTTCTGTGCAAATAGAGAATGTTCTTTAGGGATTGTGGATGCAGCCATGTGATGTGGTGGGAAACAGTCTGGGGAGCACGTTTGGATGCTCGTTGAAAAGAGTATTTATCCCCCAGGGAAACTCTCAGTGTGTAAGAGGTTGAAATGAGCAGCACATGATCATGTCTTGGTCAACCAGAACCATCCTTAGATTGGGGAGAAGAAACTGGAAAGAAATTACAAAGGCAGGAGGAAGAAGGGAGTGGCTTTGGAGGCCAGTGGTGTTCAGGATTCTCTTGGTATTCAGAAAGCAGAGAGTGCTAAACTGCTGCCTTTGAAGGTGTTAACCCCATGCAAGCAGAGGGGCATCATCTCCTCGACTGTGTGAAATCCCTGTGGCAAACCACGTGTTTGGAAACCACGGGATATAAAGCTTTGTGTCATTATCAGCACAGAATATCTCACTCCAGACACTACTGGAGCTGTGACTTGTGTCCTGTGGTTTGAGGAAATTAAAACATAGCTCCATGTTGAAGTGCACAGAGCCTGCTGTGAGCTTGAAGTCATTTGAGGTTTAAGTAGTTGCTTGCTCCAAGGAAGCCATTTCTCAACAATGAAATCAGTTCCCTTCTTAATTCTTTCCTCTCTACAATAGTCAGCAATATGAGTTTAATGAAGTTACAGTGAATTTTAAAGAGAGCAACAGGAATGATGGTGTGCTTCATTCCTGTTGAATCAGCTCTCTGTCATACTGTCCAGAAGTGTGGTGAAGCAGGTCATGATTTATCAGGAATGGGATGTAGAAACTGATATAACCAGATAATTAACAACCAGATCCAGTAAAGGAGTGGGAGAAACAGTGCAGCTTGCATTGCTGTCTGGGGCAATAAAACAGTTGCTGGAAATGGTAACCTTCTGATATTGTCTGTAATGTCAAAATTTCTTAGGCATTACCTCATACTAGTTTCTTTGTAATTTTCAGCAATCTCTGAATGTGTTTTCCCTCCCTTTAAAAAAAATTAAGAAATTTAACTCATAAATTTACCAGTTACAGTTTCAGGAGAGAATGTTACGTGCTCTGACCTCTCAAACCTCTGTGATATGAAAAGGATCTTCGAGTATTCATGCACGTTACATTGCAGAACTCCTTCCTCTAATCAGATTTATTTTTACTTTTCTGGAGAAAAAAAAGAAAAAGACCCTCAGAAAAAGTAGCCTTTTCTCTTCTAAAGCACGAGAAAATATTAATTAATATTTATGGAGGATTTTTTTCCTGGTTTTCATTGTGTGGTTGCGTGAAGCTGTAGCATTTTCAAATGTTTTTTAGAGTGTATTGTTTGCCATTTCCTTCTTCTCTGGCGTCTCATACTTTTTATCAACAGTTGGAGAATGAAGAAGAGAGGACAGATAAACTAAACAAAGTCCTTAACTCTTTATAGAAGACAAATAAGTCTAAGGAAGTGTCTCAGTTAATAACACTTTACTATCCCTACTTAACCTCAAAACACACCAATCATACAGAGACAACAATGAGGTTTTGTACCAGCAAACACTCGAATTAGATACTTAAATAAACTGCTGGTGTGTGCATTTTCTAACATGCACTGAAAAACATCAGTTACCTCTGAAAACATTGTGCATAGCAACATTCAGACAGCTATGGATGGTAGGTCATGTTTGTCAAGTATTTTTACTTTTATAAATCACAAGTTTTGCCTGAATTACTCATGCCTTAGAACAGATTTTTTATTTTTATTGTCTGCTCAGTTCAAAAAATTCAGAAGACCTGGCATCATCTTAAAAATGAGAGAGGTCTATTAGGATTCTGATATGTTTATTATTAACTAGTCATCAGTCATTTACTTACAACTATAAATAAGTAGTTAGTGAGATGGGGCACTAATAGAGGGTTTGGATACTGATGCATTCTGGAAATTGAGATAGTGCTGAACTTCATTTAACAGGCCATTAGCTGTAAGTACAGATGGAGATATGCTGAAGAAAAAAGAAGTTAATTAAAAGGTTGCTCTGCAGGATAAGTACTTGACAGGGACTTTGACAAGACATCAAACTGATGAGCAAAATTCAGTCACATGATAGCAGCTGCTGAAATATTCCTGGGCATGATCTGTGTGCCATACTCAGTAACTTCCTCCTCTCAAAACTGGTCCTCAGGGTTTTACTTCACTGGTACTTTCACCAACTGCTTTGCCCACGAAACAAAGACAGTATGGAAAGAATTATAAGCAGTTTACTTGGTATCCTGGCAATAATTTTATCCTTGCACTTCTCATTTTCCTGAGATTAACCCAGTGACGTGTCTTTTCGCTTTCTAACATCTGTGGAGATTTTCAGTTGGTTGCTCCTGAGAGAAGCCTGTGAAAAATGTCTTCATGAAGTAAAATCTTTATTAAAATCTATTTTTGGGATGGTAGTTAAATTAGTGGGAAACTCCAAATCTCTCTTCCCATCAGCGCTGGACTGTCAAGACTATTAAAAAGCATCTTCAGATGAGGACAAATACAGTCCCAATCTAAAAGTGCTTCAAAGCCTTCATAGTTATGTGACTGTGTCATACAATGTGGGGTAGACATAGTGCCAGCCAGGGTGAACACGGGACTGTTACCCAAGTGAAGAAGCTTGAGGTGAATTTCTAGGAATGATCCACAGCAATGTCAGCAGTGGAAGCTGCTTCCCACCCTCCTGCATCTGCAGAAGCTGTGTGAGCAGGGCTGTGAGTGCTGCAGATCAAAAGGACTTCAAGGCTTTTTCTGCCTTGACTGATTTGTCTGCTGAAGTTGATAAATTGGGTAAGCTAATACACATCTGCTCAACTTCCTTTCTATCTAATAATAGACTGAAATCAAAACGGAATCGAATGGAATACATTAATTAAAATGAAAGTATTTTCTCCAGCGTTGAAAAATTACACATAACAACGCCATAACATAGGCTCCTCTGTCTTTGGTTTGTGTGTTCTTAGAGACAAGACAATCTTTGCTCCAGAGAGTGTGGTTAACAGAAACCATGATGGAGGCAAAAGGATGGGATAAAGAAACAGAGAAGCACTTCTGGGTTGCCTGGTGAATTGTAGTAGTAGACTAAATTATAGTCTATTAATAGACTAAACTGAACTTTTTGTAAACATCACAGTGAAGGAGAGTTTCAAGGAGGTCTGTAAGGAAGTACTTCAGTTGTCTTTCAGAGTTTATGGAGAAATCTTTTGTAGTGTGAGAGCTGTAGGAGAAATGAAGAATATGGGGAGACACAAAACAGATAAACTTGTCTGGGATCTCAGATCCCACAGTCTGAAGTAGAACTTACATTGCTGCCTGCAGGTGCTAGGAATGAAGAGGGAGGGAAACAGAGAGTGGGAAGCCTTAGAAGTGATGTTCTCTGATGTGATCAGGGTACAGGTAGCTGGCAGAGACGTGCATGGAAAGACGGGGAAGAAAATTTTACAGTAGTTCATGTGAGTAGAACAGTGCGAAGAAGGACTTGGCAAGAACAAACTGTTGAAATAAGTAACGATAGGATTCAAATTTGAACATCTAGGTAGTTATTTGTAGAGCTGAATAAGAGAGGCTGTTATTTGGATACACTATGTAGAAAGAAACTGGATGTGGAAACCTAAAGAGATGACAATGCCAAAGGATTCAGCAACCACCTTCCTTCCACCCCTTGCTCTTGCTGCAGACCAGACTTTGCATCTGCCACTTCCATGTGGCAATAAAGACCTTGCTTCTTCCAGCAGAGTGGAAGTCCTTAGGAGAGTTTAGGCTTGAGT